CCCGTCCCGTCCTGTTCCATTCTCCGCTTGGCTCCTCGCCGTCCTGGGACAGGGCTCTTTCCTCCTCTCCACCCCTGTTGCAGTCTGGCTCCGTGCTTGGTCCTGTTCCATTTCTGTGCTGCTCAGCGCGGGGATGGGGCCTGGTCCGTGTCCTTCCTCTGCCTCCCCCCTCCGCGCGGCCTGCTCCGCCCGCTCCCGCCTTCCTCGCTTGAGGCCGCGACCTTGCGGCCGATCATGAAGCCAGGGCAGGCTGTAGCTTCTCCGGCTCTGTCCCGGGTGCTCCTGTGGCCAGGCCCGGCGGGATTGCCGAGATCGTGGGGAAAATGGAGAACGGTCTTTATCTCCTGGGGAGAAAGATGTTAACGGAATAAAACCGTGCCTCCGGTAAATGCAGTTGTACAAGAATTGGGGCAGATGTGCTTGAAAGACACCTTTTGAAACATTTTTTTCTGAGGGGAGACCTTAGATTTGTAGTTTCTGCATCGGAGTCACGTACAGTTTCTCATATCCAGAAATAGCGGTGGATTTTTCTTCGATCACTCTTCACAGTCTGCTTTTTGTTTGTGGGTGATTGCAGATTTGCCTTTTCTCGGAAATGTTTCTGCCCAACCTAAAATTATTTAATAAAGGAATTTATAAGCAGCTCTGAGGTATTTTACCGTCTTACGTTGGAAGGCATCTGTGCTTCTAATTTAGGTATTAATATATTTCAGGTTTTTGTGGAAGTGAGGGACACGTGTTAAGAGGGAACAGCTAATAACTAACACGTGTATTCGTCTCGCTTGGGAAGATAGGTGTGGAGTGTTTGTTGAAATATTAATGCTGACCTGCAGAAAATAAATTACAGTTTGCCTGTTCTGTCACAAAGATGTCCAGAAGGTTCTTTGCTTAAAAGGTTTCTGTTTAAAAAGACAGTTCCTTACTGACTACAGCAAATTATGTGGTGTCATAAGACTTGATAGTTGCATGACTGAAAAAGGAAAATAAATTTTAACTAAATCCTTTGTTCTCTTTTATAAATGTTAGCTACTGATACTTGTTATTAAATAGGTACCTTTAAGTATTTAGCATGACTTCCCTTTTGTGGATTTAAAGTGTATTTCTCCTTAATGCTTTAGCATCTTTGTTTTAATCTACATGTATGCAGAGAAGGAATCAGCCTACATAGAAATAACTAGAACTTTTAAAAGTATGTGTCAAAGGATATGAAATCAAATAATGCCAGTTTTGTACCTGTCTGGAAAGGGAAATGCTGTCTGGTATGAGGAGGAGGTTTGGTTTCAGGCATCCATGGAATATTTGTCATGGTTTGAATGCTCAGAGATGCTTCCTATTCTTTTTTTTTTTTCTTTTTCTTTGGGAAGAATCACAATAATGCTAACTAGCTTAGTGTTACATCACTTTCAGGATTAAATGTTTCCTTAACAGTCTTCAATAGGTACTGTAACAGGGATTTTGATGATGAAAAAATCCTTATACAGCACCAAAAAGCAAAGCACTTTAAATGCCATATATGTCATAAGAAACTCTATACAGGACCTGGTTTAGCTATACATTGCATGCAGGTAAGTTTTAGTCTTACATAAGCTTTTCTTATGAGTCTCTAAAAGTGGAATTAATGGTGAACATTAAAAGATGGGAGTCTGGGGGCTTCCAGAGCGTTAAAAACTGACGAGAAAATAGGCTGTTTCCAGAACAGGAGTCCTGCTGTGTCAACATTCATATGGAGAGTATTCAGTAGAGATCTTTGCCATTGTTTTTTGGGGATAGGAGGAGTGAAGGAATTGTATTGTCCTGGTGTTCAGAAGTTTTTATAAACTGGGTTTTAGAAGCTAATGGTAGCTAACAGTGATTAGGGAGCACATATCAAGAAAATGCTTGGCTAGAGAGGTTCTTCCCATTGGGATGTTCCTTTTATATCTTGAAACTGAAGAATTCATTGAACGTAACCTGAATTGTGGTCAGGAGGATTTTATTCTTTTTCTTTAGGTACATAAAGAAACAATAGATGCTGTTCCAAATGCTATTCCTGGAAGAACAGACATTGAACTGGAAATCTATGGCATGGAGGGCATTCCAGAAAAAGATATGGAGGAACGGAGGAGGTTACTTGAACAAAAAACTCAAGGTAAAGTGTTATCTAGTCTGTTTCTTACTGGTACTAAGCTGTGTGATACAGGTCTCACCTCTCAGAAGAGTAAGGGTTGGGTTCAATGCTTTCTCTAAGTGCGGCTCTAGACGTTTGCCAGTCATGTAGAAGGATGAGAGGTATTTTTCTTTTCCTGTTCAGAAAGAGCTGCATGCCAGTACAGCTACAATGATGAATATGGGGAGAGTGGTTTTATTTTGAGAGTAAGGGGAGGAAAGGCCAGGGATGATACAAGCCTGATGATGCACAAATACCTAGATGAATTTTTGAACACGCTGATAAGATTTAAGTTTTATTATTTGATTTCCAGCTGGAATACCCCAGTTAAAATGAATTTTGGAGAATATAATTTACCTTCAGTCTGACCATATACGCTTTACTTTCTCTCTCTAGCAGAGAGCCAGAAAAAGAAACAACAGGATGATTCTGATGAGTATGAAGACGATGAATCTGCAGCTTCAACTTCATTTCAGCCCCAGCAAGTTCAGCCACAGCAGGGGTACATTCCTCCGATGGCGCAACCAGGTTTGCCTCCTGTGCCAAGTGCGCCAGGGATGCCTCCCGGTAAGACGGTGTTTTAAGCTTGTTGCTGAAAAGCCAAATAGAAATACAAATTGCTGCTAGTATGATGAAGTAATAACCTACCCTTTCTCACACTGGGTGTTAGAGGTCACCGATTAGTCTTGTGAAGTGCGCATAAGCAGTTTCTTCACATTTGTTTCCTTCCCACACACATCTTCCTTTGTGAAGTAGATTAAGATACCTAATGCTTGTGCCTCGTCTGAAGGAATGTTAATATGGTAGTAAGGCAGATCAGTACTTTAAATATAAGTCTACCATATGATATTTGTTTGTGGTATTTTGTAACAAGACTTTGGAAACAGAGCAGAAAGGCTAGAGACAGCTAACATAGAACAGGCAGTTTATACCCAGGCGACAAATACATTGAGGAAAGTAAATGACAGTGAGTTAAAGCTGGTCTCTTCTCATTACATTTTCTGTAATGATAAGGCATGTTGTTTGGAGACTACTAAGAAAATTTACAGTCTTGCAGGACTGAGCACAATGAATCTAAGTCAGATTTGCAGATAATCTTTTATATTGTGTTGTTTGTAAGTAGTGTTATTTCAAAAAAGTCTTTCAGAGCTTCCTTGAGAGCATTTATCCAGTCGAAATTTATATGAGATTTGATAGCAACTGTATGTTTTTCTCAGAGTTAATTAAAATTTCTTTTTCTTTTAAGGTATACCACCATTAATGGCAGGTGTTCCACCTATGATGCCTGGAATGCCTCCAGTTATGCCTGGAATGCCACCTGGGTGAGTACCAAGAAAGACGTAATATTACATGTTCATACTGTGCATTTTAAACTCATGGAAAAAGTAAAGCTAATTGGAAAAATATATGTAGGAACCTGTGAACTCTGTAACCTCAGTATTAAGACTAACCAAGGAACTAGATGGCTGTAAACCAACATTAAAAGTGTGGCCAAACTGTGAGTTTATGTATAAAGTATGTTGTTTTTCTCCTAACTTTATTAGAGTAGTAGTATAATAATATAAAGTTTTGTTGTGTTGGTTTAGAGCCTTCTGTGAACCGCTGTTCCTTTGTGTATTGCACATATGTTGTGCATCTGGTTATCAGTCATTCACCTAAAAGGAAAAAAATACTGGATAGTTTAAATTCTTCTTGTATTTTGCACAGAAGTAAGATGTTGGTTTTTATGCTTGTTTGGGGTTGACGCCATACCCTATCACAATGTCTTTGAAAAATCACAGTTAGATTTTTTTATTTTGTCATAAATTTTCACAGATTACATCAACAGAGAAAATACATGCAGTCATTTTGTGGTGGAAACATGTAAGCATCTCATTAATGTAATTCTAGGTACCTTCATTATGCCATTTTATGTCATGTTTTTGATAAGCTTGAAATTGTCTTACTGAAAACCTCTGAATATCGCTTAAGAATTTGGGGAAAATGTCTAGTTAGGTTTTGTTATTGTATAATATCAGAAGTTTCTGTGCTTCATCTAAATGAATATTACAGAACTATATGTTATGAGAAATGTATTCTAGAAAATATTAATAAAATGGACCTGTAAGGGCTTATAACCTCTCTTGGACTAAAGTGCTCAATCCTGTACACTGCAGGAACTTTGTTTCTAAGTTTTAAAGTTCACTGAGGTGAAGGGTTGTTCTCTTCTGAGACACAAATATTGTTTTAACAGTCTTTGAATTTAAAAGTCATGTCATGGTCGAACATCTTGTGGATGCTCATCATGACTGTAGCTTTTCTGGGTGGAAACTAAACTGAGTTTTATCAGGCTTGCTGGTGCTTAGTCTTCTTTAAACTCTTTGTTAACTTCAGGTGACTTATGTCATCCAGTAAAAGACACAAATTAATTTGTCAGAAATTCACTGAACTTCCATTTTGGTGACGGTTTGGGGGGGAAGAGGTGATGTTACATTACGCTTTTACCTAGCGTAATCTAAAATTTTGCTTATGTAGCTTGGTGATCTTTTATTTAAAAAAGGGCAAAGAAGAATTAGGACCTAGGAAGCAACATTGGTTTTAGTGTGACAATAGTTCTAGTGCTATCCCTGCCGTTTCTCAGAAAGTCATCTTCCTGGTGGCAGCAGGCGGTGAGCATCCAGCACTTTTTTGGGGTCTAACAGATAGTTGTCAAAATGGGGTGGCAAGACTGACTTTGCCTTCGCCAACCGTTAACCCAAAAAAAGGGTGGTGTACTATGTTCCTAGTCCTTGCTGCCTCTGCCTTGGTTGTTCCTTTTGCAGCAGGGGTAGACAAGTTGTGAAGAAAAGTAAGACTGGGTAGCCAGCCATCTGCTTCGCAGAATGGATGCTTGGCTGTTCGTGATTATTTGTTTTGATTTTGAAACAGCAATGGTGAAGGTTTCTTTGTCATACAAATCGAAACTGCTTCTTAGTGGGGTTTTGGTGTGCACTGGGCTGCTATGTATCTGCTTATCTTGCTAACTAAAGTAGTAGGCACTCTCTTGTTTCCCTAATCCAGCTTTGAGTGTCTGGAAAAATTGAAGCAAACTTAAGCTTCCTTTGGTTTGTTCCCTGTGAAGGAATCTCATCTATTCATCTAAGCTTTCCAATTTAAAAGCACTTAGTGTTATAGACAGCTTAATGTTTATGGGGTTGCAGCCCTGGAGGAATTTGCTTATATTAAGGGTTGTATGTATAGTTTGGATGGGGAACATATATTGATTTGTACTGTGGCTTAGAAGATAAGGATAAAAGGAGTCGTTTAGATGCCACCTTTCTGTAGGAAATACAGACCAATTTTTTTTCTCCAGGTACCAGTAGCAAGGAAAAAAATATTTTTAATATGAAGGGGAAATAATGCCATAAGGATTTCTGATTTTTAGAAAAATGATATTTTTTAGGGTTTTTTATCCTTAGCATAGGGAATATTTAATGTAATTGAAACTCCAGAAACTTTCTTATCCTGTGGTCTTGGCTCTGCTTTTATCAGTATTTTGTGGATAGTTTTGCAGATTTGGGTTGTCTACAATTCACTAGAGGAAGCAGAATATGTTAAACTAGTGTGAGGGTGCAGTAACCACAAATAGACTTGTGGTGTCAGAAAGGAGTAACAGCAGGTGTACAGTGTTTTTAGTGTGACGGGAGTTTGCTGCAGTTTTTCCTGCTTTCAAATTTTCTGAGTGTACTGAGATCTGGTTCTTGGAACATTCTGCTGAAAGTAGTAGCTTGAAATAGATTTCAAGAGAGACACCAATTATGAAAATTTGATAATAGTGAAAGTGAGAGCTTGAGGAATTAAAGTTTGAATAAAGAGTGTGAGGGGGTTTTTTTTAGGTGGTGTTTGTTCTTGTGGAAAAACATTTCGAACTGTGGAGTTAGGTGGTTTTGAATTGCCTCTGAAAGCTTTTTGAAATTATTTACCATAATTTTTTATCTAATACAGGTATGTTGCCAATTGTCTTAAGTTTATCATGACTGTTCATACCAGTGCTCGTTTTCTGTTTAATAGGATGATGCCGATGGGTGGAATGATGCCTCCTGGGCCAGGAATACCACCACTAATGCCTGGTATGCCACCAGGTAGGTCAGGCTTGTTGAACTCATGCTATGATGAAATCTAAATTACATTTATTTCCACTGAGATTTAGGCCTTATACAAAAAATATACAGACTTATGCCACCACCTTGGTGTGGATTGATTGCCACAGAAGCCACTCTTGTGCACAGATGAAGGGGTTGATTTATGGCTTTTGATTATAAAGAATTATTTGCGTTCAGTACCATTGTGAGGGTACAAAACAGAATATTGTTTTCTCTTCCTGTTGCACTTTCTCTGGCTTTTGTGTTGCCTGCTCTCTCCTTCATCCCTTTTTTCTAATGTCTGTGGCTGGAAAATCGTAATGATTGAAAATGTTGTGGGACATGAGAAATACCCAAGTAAGGAACCTGCTGTGTGAAGAAACTAACTGGAATTTTTGTCTCTCTTGGGAGCTAGAAGAGATGTTTATCAAGCTTGTGCAGCAATTAAGCAGCCTTAAGTTCTTGGGCTGTTCTACCTGACCAGCAGCTATGCTGTGATGGCTTGAGATTTGCTGGTTTGCCCGCTGGAGGAGTAGGCAAGCCACTAGGGACGGTACAGCCTGGTTGTGCACACCGATATGATGGAACCCATGTGTGCTGTCAGCTTCCCATCTCTGAACCTCTCCTAGAGCCCTGCACATATGAAGTGCGTGTATTGTGATGATAGGCTACAAAAAGTAGCCTTGTGTCACTGTTCTGCTGTGCTGAAGACCCACAAAGCTGGTCTGTGTTTCAGTCAAAGTTGATACCATTCATAATGGCTGCATCTTTTGGATTTTGTAGCTATCTTATCCACGTGCACAGGTGTCACGTGTTGGAAACAGTTAAGCATTAATTGAAAGCGTAAATGTCACTGTTGAAGCTCTAGTAGAAAACACATCTTAATTCAGTATTGCTCTGAAGTGTTTGAGGTTACCGCCTGTGCGTGGACATTTACTGGTGACTGCTGGCGTTACCCTTTATGTTTTATTTTACTACTGCCTTAGAAATACATCTTCTTGGGGAAGACTTTGTTCTAAGGAACACTGAACAGAATCCTCCAAAGGAGTAGTCTTACTTCCTTCAGCCTGATTTGTTACCAGTTCTTTGTGGCTTGTAGGTATGCCACCGCCTGTTGGTCCTCGGCCTGGGATGCCTCCAATGACACAAGCACAGCCGGTTACAGCACCGGGCATTCTTAACAGACCTCCGGCTCCTGCTGCATCGGCACCTACCCCCCAGCCTCCAGTTACTAAGCCACTCTTCCCAAGTGCGGGGCAGGTAAGGTAGCTCACAGCCTGGAATCTGTTGTTGTATTCTTCAAACTGCCACTGTGCCAACAGTGTCTATTCTTTATTATTGAGGAGGCCCGAGAAATGACTGGTTAAATTTCTTGCTTGTCTTGATTCTTAAATTCAGTGTAGTGCTTGAATAAATTTTAAAAGATTCTTTTGTTTGTCTTATAACAGCCGTGAAACCAGACAGAAGTTCTGTAAGCTCGTGGGGAAGAAAGGAGTAGGCAAAACAGTTCTTTCTTAAATCCACTTAGTTTATCATTTATGAGGGTGCTTTGTGTGGGTGAAGGGATTTGTTAGTCAGCTACAGGAATCTAATTGCATAGAAGTTTACCTAAATTTCCAGAGTATAGATCTTGACATGACTTGTTCTTTTCTGTTTTTTTCATAATGGGCACTCTACCGATAGATGGACTAATTTATTCTGTAGTCTTGTTAAACTAGTTAAATGTTGCCTGTATTAGGAGGTTTTTTTACTTTAAAAAGTTAAGGAGTAAGTTAGGGTAGTAAAGATTTGTTTAAATGTTTTGGGGAGGGAAGTGGGGAATTGATAGTGACTTGTGACCTCTATCTACCCTTTGATTGCACTTGTTGTAAGTCCGGAAGTTTTTACTTGCTTTCAAGTATGTTGCAGAAACCTTCATGGTGTACTATTTGCATTTAGGACTTCTGCAGGGAAGATACTTGTTTACAAAAACACAGTCCTTTCATGAGAAAGGACTTAGCATAAGAAATCCTTTCATCTGGATACTTTCCACCCATTTGTTTGGAGACTTTTCACTGTTTCCTTTCTTTTATGCTACAGATGGGGACACCTGTCACAAGCTCAAGTACAGCTTCCTCCAATTCAGAAAGTCTGTCAGCATCTTCTAACGCTCTGTTTCCTAGCACAGCACAAGTACGCAGGAAGTCACAGTTAAAAACAAATTGCTTTGCAACTTAACCCTTTGGACCGTTCTGTCAAATCTGAAATTGACTAAACATCTTCAGATAATTTCTGTTACATTCCTGATTATGTTTAGCTGGTAAAAACTGCAGAGTCCTTGATTGTGAGTTGCATCTTACTAGAAATAAACATGTCAAAGTGCCCAATTTTTCGTAGTGTGAAAAAATGAAATGTTAACATCCTGGTTCTAAAGGGTTAAAAAAGCATGAAAGCAGTTAAATGCATTTTAGTGGGCAGTGGTTAGCTTGATGCATGGTGAAGGCTTTTTAGTTTCTGTTGTTTAATATGGTACATCATAATGGTAGGAAATTTTGTAATTTGCATTATGTGCAACAAATGGAAATATTTTACTTTGATTGGAAGGTTCAGATAATTGTACATGTACAGTGACTAGAAACAAAAACATCCTCTCATAACCAAAGCTTGCTTTGGAGATTGCTGTGTCTTCAGAGAAAGCCTGGTAAAGCAAAATTTTATTGTCTAAGAGTTTTAATGTAAGAAAAAAGTAGGGAAGATAATATGCTGGAATCTGGAGTGGACTGCATAATCTGCCTTCAGTTAATTCTACATTTGCAAGGGAGATTAAAGATCTATAGAGAGACATAGTACTTTGTGAAAATACTTCAGTATTTCTATAGAGAGAATGCTTAAAAACCCTGACAGAATAGAGCTTTCTTAAATATTTAATTAAAATATTTCTTAAATATCTAATTTTAATGAATACTAACACTTTGAGCTGTACTTTAAACTAATGGTTGCTAAAGTATGCTAATAATTCAGTGAGAGAAAAATGAATTTATACTTAAAGGCTCTTAATAAAGAACTTGCTCAGGAAAGATTTAGACATTTACCAAACTCAGTATTTGAGATAAAAATGTTGATAATGGGGTTTTTTTGTTGTTTCTTTTTTCTAGTTGTTGCTTTTGACCTGCAAATTTTATACTTTCTTGTGTGTGTATATATATGTGTATATACTGGGATTTATTTTGTCCTGTTTTCAGTTGCACTAGTATGCGATAAGGCTGAACTTTTGTCGAGCTTGTTTTAATGTATCTCACTGGAAGGTTTCAGAGGGCTAACGTTTTAAGTTTTCTTATGCTTTGAGAAATAAATATTGATCTATTTCTGTGTTTCACAGGCTGCAGCAGCTGTTCCAGGTCCTGTTGGTACTGATTTCAAACCTTTGAATTCTACACCTGCAACAACAACAGAACCCCCAAAACCTACATTCCCTGCTTACACCCAGTCTACAGCCTCAACCACTAGCACGACAAACAGTACTGCAGCTAAACCCACTACGTCGATAACAAGTAAGCCTGCGACCCTCACAACAACCAGTGCAACCAGTAAGTTGATCCATCCAGATGAGGATATATCACTGGTAAGTTAAAATATTTTCATTATCTTACTGAAAAATGCAATTTATGCTGATAATGGCTGATTAAGTAGATCTTGAATTTCTTCTGTGCTCTACATTATGCGTTATGCAAACTTCGGTTGCAAAGTGATGACTGGCATATTGCAATGATCCTGTTGCAGAGCTAAGCTTTATTTTTGTTGGTGGTGGGAGATTAGTCAAGCCAAAATATAATTTGGACTTTTTCTGCGCATGACTTAAGCCTGAAGTTAAATTGATACAGCTAATGAGCATAGGACAAAAGACTCAACAGCGGTCTTGGTGCTATTACAGCAGTCAGAGATGACTGATGGATAAAACAGATCTTAATTTCAGCTCAGATATCTTTAGATTTGTGTTTGGCTTTTTTGTCTCAACTTGTTGTGAGGAAAAGGCTTTCTTCAGCTGAGGGAGGAGGAGTGTTGCATGCAGAATGCTGAAGTGGCCAGTATTAGTGCAGTAACTTTGAAGGAAGGGGGAAAAATCCAAATGCTGCTATGTAGCGTTACTAGTAGCAGTCTTTGAACTCCTAAGGTAGTTGAAATAGTTTAGTGCCTATAGTCTACTTTGTTACACTTTTATTTACTTCGCTTTTGGTGAGTTTTAGTCTCACAGTGTGTTCTGGTTGTCTGTTCGTGGTTTTAGGAAGAGAGAAGGGCACAGTTGCCTAAATATCAGCGTAATCTTCCTCGACCTGGACAGGCTTCATTGGGTAGCCCACCAGTTGGACCAATTGGAGGTATGATGCCACCACAGCCAGGAATTCCTCCACAGCAACAGGGAATGAGACCTCCCATGCCACCTCATGGTAATCATAAGTTTTTCCAGTTTTCTTTTCTTGAAAAGATTTGTCTTTACTATGAACTTTTTTAAACTTGAAGTGGCATATACTGGTGGGGGGAGGGTGAAGCTTTTCACAAAATGCAACTTCTGTCTGTTATTCGAAAAAAAAAAAAAGCTTTGCATCTTAAATGTTCTGTTTATAGGTCAGTATGGTGCTCATCACCAGGGCATGCCAGGGTATCTTCCTGGAGCGATGCCTCCATATGGTCAGGGACCTCCGATGGTGCCCCCTTACCAAAGTGGACCTCCACGACCTCCAATGGGAATGAGACCTCCTGTAATGTCGCAAGGTGGCCGCTACTGATGCTACTACACACGCTCTAATAGGTTTGGAGATTAAACCTTTTCTCATCTTGTGCTGTTAATATAGCCAAGCTTCCGTCAATTAAGGCTTCATTGTGACTTTAAAAAAAATAAGTATCTTCCCACATGCAAGGAGCTATTGGACATTCTTATTTTACATGGGAAAAAATTATTTGGAATAATAACAGGAAGTTTTCCTGATGTTGCAATTTATACTGTATGGCTTCTTTTTCATGTTTCATCTAGGTTTTTAGAAGTGAAGTATAGTAAATATGGTTCGTTAAATTGTGAAGGCGCTGGAATTACATGAACATACCACCTTAAAGGCAAGTTCTGTAACATTATGTTGCTATTTGTGAAATGATGCCTTCACAGCACTTCAAGTGCTGTTGGACTTCATGTCCCCAACATAGTTTGGTGAGGGCTGTAACTGTTCCCAGCTACTTGTACATTTAAGTCTGAACTTGTAACAATATTTAATGTATTTAGAGTTCTTCCTGTTTCAGGGTTTAAGTAAACTGACCCACTAAGGTCGTGTGACTTTTCTGTACTGTTATAAACTTCATTGTAATAAAAGAAGAGAAAAATTTATATGCCTTCTTATTCATGACCAGCTGTGGACAACTGCCCGAAAGGTTTGTACAGATGCATGCCATGGTAGCTATTGGTGTAATGAACACAGTTATCGGTGCTGTTTTGATAAAATCTGAATTCCTTATTTTAAAATGAAGTCACTCCTTAGCTGCGCATCTGAGTAGACAAAGACCTGTACACTTATTAACTGACTCCCCAAAAACGAGGCTGCAGGAGGCACATCTTAACTCTTGGTTGTAACTTTTCTTAATATGTATGTTTCTTTATTTGTGCTTTCTTGTCCTCAATAAATTTTAAATGATTTCTAGTCCTGGCACTTACTTGTAGGATATAAAAGTGATTGCTTTAAGATGAATCCAAGTGCCATATATGTCCTCTTAGTTCATTCTTTGAATGACTCTTTAATGTCCAAATGCACGTGAATTTCAGGAGCCTGTTAGATGAAGCTTTCTAGAAGCTTAGGTGCATGTCACATGGGTGAGTGACCTCCAGTTGATGTTGTATTGAAGTTGACCTGCAAAAGAGAAAAAAGTAGCTTGACCTTCTCAGTGTATAAAAGAGACGGGGCAAGAGTAATTTGTTATATGCTGTATTTTTTACTTTAAATATTCAGAATTTCATATCTCAGTCTAAAAGATGAGCCATCCATTATGTGCTGTGATCACATGTTGGCTGAGTTTCGTGAGCCATTTAATGGAAGTGTCTAGAGTGAGACCTTTTTATCAGTTCTCCTAATTGCAGTTATCAAAGAGAGGTCTTCCCCCTATGAATTAGTAATTTATTTGTCTCTGTTTATAGGAGTAAAGTGATAAATTGCTGTCAAGGTTGTAATTCTCTGCATGTCTGACATCACTGTGTTAGTGTGCTATGCTTCTGATGAGGATGAAAATGTAGAGGGACACTTTTTGGAGGGAAGTGAAGCGAGAGCTTCCCTGGTCCCTTCACAATAGGGGAAAAAAGGAGTGGTGAATTTTTCATTTGCAGGTCAACTTTAAATACATGTTCCAGCCTCAAGCCTTATCTGTGTGATTTAATTTATGGGGATATGTTCTCTTCTAGGATAGGTTAAACAGATTATGAGCATTTTTGTGTCAATTTATGTTCCATAGATGTTTTTGTTGATGGTGGAGTTTTTTCACTTAATTTTAACATTATTTTGTCTCTTTTTTCTTGAAAGTCTTGGGGTTTTGTAGCTGCACTTAAGTCCTTCATGTGGCTTTATTTCGTACTGTCTCTTAACAGTCCAGAAATACAGTACAGATAAAATGCTACATTGTCCCTCGGCTTCAAACTTGGGGTCATGAAATGCCTCATAAAAGCGCTAGAGCATCCAGTACACTCTAGTTGCAGCTGACTGGCCTTAGTTTAACCATTAAGAATTACCAGGCACTATTTCTGAAGTGTTTAGCAGTTTTCAGACCATAACTCCAAGCCTCTGTTGAGAAGCAGTTCTCTCTGATCACTGGTGTCTGCTGATCACCTGTCAGATGTGCGGTATTTGGCTTGCAGATGTGCTGAGTGGGCTGTGATGTCAGATCTTTTGTTAGCTCTTCGTCTTGCTTTATATATAAGTCTAACAGATAAAACAGTTTTGCTGGGGCAATGCTTTTGTCCTTTGGTTTTCTTCTATTTTTCTAATACCGATAATTATGAAACACTGGAGAGATTTTTACAGTGTCTTACACTCATCCCTTTTGTAATACTACACATAAAATTCATACATTAGAAATTTATCTTAACTTCTGCTTTTAAAACTATAGAACTACTGACTTTTTCTGAAGATCATATTGCTGCTGTAAGGATGCTGTGCCCTCCTGTGCCTAGTAAAGTAAATACCTTCTCCCTTCGATGTCTTTCTGTAACTCACTGGTATGTTGTTTTCAGACCCCTGCTTTTCCTGGGATGAGCACTTGAAAACCTTACTGCATGTACTGTTAACTCAGCATGTTCTGCAAGGTGTTTTAATTAAGAGGTTTCCCTCTTTTAAATAGCGAATGTCTCATTGTTCCGATAATAGTACCATTTTGTAGCTAATAGTGCATAGACCTATAACTTGGACGCATTTTAAGGTGGAACTTTCCTGAGTAGTAATGTTATGATAATCCCTCAACTAAGTATACTGCCATGTATTATTAATGTTACTCTAATATAATCTTCAGCAAGCAGGCGAAAATTTTTTCCATGATTTTTCATGTGGATGCTTACTTTCCTGCTCCTGTAATTTCCGTGCTGTGAGAGCTGTGATGTGGCTGTCCTTAGTTACTCTCGTGTCTCCTGTGTGTACTCTTCTGTAAACAGGCGGGTATCGCAGTGCATTTGGTGTCTGTTGGTCCCTGCCTTCATTCCTTTGGATACTGCTTCTTAATGTTCAGAGAGTTGGATTTATGGTGGATTTTCCCAAAAAGAAGAAAACTACATTGAATGTAGTAATTGTTCATATAAAGACTAAGGCTTAGTTTACACTACGTTTAATCAGTGTAGCTGTGGCAGCAAAATCCCTAATGTAATGCGGCCATGCAGACAATTTTCTGCTTTAGTTAATCTCTCCCTGGAAAGAGATTCTTTATGATTACAGAAAAGCATATCTCTTTTGCAGGAGTCTAGCAATATAATTAGCTGGGCAGAAACTTTGTTTTTCAGTTGCTGCCTAAATTTGCCATGGCAGATCTTACAGTAAAATGAAAATTCACAAGTGGATTTTGATCTGTCTTTAAATTGGAATGTAACGCAAATGTTGAATACAAAAAACAGGCTGCAAGAAAATGTTCAGAAACAGATGGGAAAATATATTTTGCAAAATACGTAGAACTTACGGCATCTAGGACTTGTTTGAAAGGTTCTGAATATTTTATGCACAGTCTCTCAATATCATTATGAGAGCCTGATCTCGTATCTGTTGATCTGTAGAGCAAAAGGAGTGAGACTGGCATGAAAGAACATTGGAAAAGCTCGGGCAAGTTTTCCAGAAGTCTTCACATGAGTGTTTTGTATGGCCTTTAGAATATCTTTCTGCCTTTGGCAAAAGTTGCTTTAAATAAAATTTGAAAATTTAGCTGGGCTATGTGCACTAAAAATGTGTTCTTCTGGAACTCTGGGATTTTTTATTTTTCCCACAGATGAGATTTTTAGATGCTGATAATAAATTTGAGGCTGGGATGTATATCTAATACCAGTGGATAACTATTCCTCGCTCTGTGCATGCATGGGAGAATATAAACAAGCTTCTAGAAACACAGTCAGCTGGAAGGGTTTCTGCAATTATTTTAGTGTAGGAGCTCTGGAACAATACTTAGATAAACTTTATAGCTTTCTTAAAAGTTGGATCAAATTGAATGGAGTATATAACCTGCAATTATAGGAATCAAAGAATTCTGCATGCAAGATAAAAAATAAAGTATCATAATTACTTCAGCTTTATAAAAAGCAAGAAGGGCATTATGACTCTTCAGTTAAATTGCAACTCTGATATACCGGCCTGTGAGCTGGGGCTGCAATTTAAAATGGTAACTAATGACACTTAATAGTAAATGTCTTAATAATTGTACTGGTCTAGCTTCTACATCTGTACTAAGGTGAGGGTGAACGTTCTCAGTGTCTGATGGAATCTTTTTGTGAACTAGTACGATAAATACTACCAGTTACGGGAAAAATGCCCCAAAACAACTGACTTATATTCCATTGATCAAGATACAAAGCAAAACAAAGTCCAACTCAGAAATAGCTACCAACTGAAAAAAGTTTTCTTTAGGCCTAACAAAATAGGTGCAGTAGCAGTCATTTTCTTTTGTTTGCTTGATCACTGGAATTTTGTTAACTTTGAATGCATGTCTTTCACTTAATTGGGTCATGTTTTTTCTAAAATTTAAATTTTTCTTCTTCCTGTAGCCCTGCCATAGGACAGGCTGAGGCAGAGTCTCAGTGTTGCCCTGTTCAGTCTGAGGCAAGTGGGATTTATTTTATTCATTCTAGGGGCTTTCACAGCTTTATGGCTGTTGGATATTTATGTCCCCAAACTTGCAGCAAGTTTGGTGAAGGCCCCTAAATTTATTTTAATTTAGGTTTTTTATTCTCTTTTGGTAGATGGGCTCTATATTAATATTTATCTTTTCATTACTGTTGTGTTTTTAAGAATCTTAGCGGGAGGGAACGTATTTTAAGATGTTTGGGTACCTTTTCTCTTAATGGACCGCGTTTTCTCAAAGGCTGCTCAGGTAGTCCTTCAGCCACACTGCCCCTTTCCCCCTCTTCTGCATTGCATTTGTGCTGCATTTGGTTTTGGTTTTGGTAATGTGGCTTTGTGTAGTCTGAACTGGTGGCATGTAAATACCCGTTACTAATGTTTCCTCTTCTGGGGAGATGTATCTATTGAAGTGCTTAAAAGACTTGGGTTTTAAAGGTTTTAACTAGTAAGTGACATTTATAGTCACAAGATGTGTAGCCTAAACTGTAGAATACAGTTTCTTGGAAGGAGGTTAAGATGTTAATACTACTGCATATGTGAGCTGCACCACAACAAATATTAATGTAGAGCCCTGTGAAGAAATAGAGATTCAAGTTGGTAAAGTAGAATAGAAGAATGAGAAATCAAAGCTGCAGATTTTTCATGTTGTCAGTTTCGGGAAAACCTTTTCATCACTCTCTCAACTACACCAAACTTAATATTTTGTCTGTTGTAACAATATTGAAAGTCATAGCACTTTCTTGAAACATTGTGAAATTCTGTTGCATATTCAGAATTTTCTTAGATACATGCTTATCTGAAGTTCCTTCTTTCACACAGTGACTAGGAAAAAATTCTACCCTTTGTGAAGAAAAATGAGCCTTAGTGTTGTTGCTCACTCTGTTGCAGATACATTGGTTTTGAAGGCTTGAGGTTGCTTAAAGACAGCTTCAGCTTCAGAACAGGTTTTGTCCAAGGAGGTCTTGCACCCTGTCAGCAGTGCAATAGAAAATTAACATGTTGGAGTCAGGTTTTATAACTTTTTAAAATTTTGGGGATATTTTTAAAAGTTGTGGTGTTTTTTGATGAGCATAGGCTGTGTTTAATTTTTTCAAGATTTTGCTAAATAATGACCCTCAGTGTGATTTCCAGTAATTTTAATTAAAGGATAGAGTTGTAATTCTTAACTGAGTTGCAAGAGTGGATTTCACATTCCTGTTGTACTCTCCTTTGTTCGTACTCTGCCCTTTGCATTTTTCCTGTAGAAGGCCCCCTCAGCTTGCCTAGTCTGACTGGAAAATCGGCATGTCCTCTATTAACTGTTTCAAAATCATTACTGAGCATGACGTTGCTTTTCTAATTCTCATTGTGGTGCT